AAAGCACCAATGACCTTTGGATTCTAGTCTGTTCATCGGCAGTAACAAAATCCTGGTTCACCAGTGTAGAGACGATATTGTATGAACTCAGTAGAATTTTGTTAGTTTCATTTCAATATAAACGTATGCTAGTTTTACCGTCTAATTTGTCTTGCGATATCCTTACGGAACTATCTTTCAGTCTCTTTAGGTATGCCCTTACCCATATTCGGCAAATCACACAAGTCTCCTGCCGATGTGGTGAGAAATCTGAAGGAGGCCCTCGTCGCCGTGGAGAAGGTAATGTGAAAATTACCCTTTTTAAGTTTGTACTGTTGTTATATGACTTAGATTTCTCGATCAACGCATTCATTTTTCATAGTAAACGTAGAAGAAATCCTTAGATTCAATGAAATGACCTTTTATAAGAACGAAAAAACGTAACCATTAATATCTACTCTATCTCCCATGTGCTCCTTTCACTTCTTTGTCTTTTCTTGTATGATCGTGATACTTTGCATGCTGGGTAAAATCATCCATTGTTTATATCAGCTGGCCACTTCACATGATGACCGATTCTTTTTGACAGTGTTCTATTGTTTCGTGATATTCGTTTAGCGGCCAAATGTTAAGGTCTCTATAGTAAAATTATACAGTATTTGATTCACATTTTAACATTTCACGCTCCCCTCATTAAGCCACATGCATGTGCTCTAGTAGTCTATGGTCTGGAAGACTAAAATGAGAAGCATATCTGTTTGAAAGTCCCTTCTTTAGACTCAGGGTGATAAGAAAGGCGACAAGGCAGTAGAAGAGGTTAACAAATGGCTGCAAATGGTTAAGAGTATCATATACGGGTCAGAAACGCAGGATCCCCATAGTGAGCAGGTATCTTCAAAAATAGTTCCTACTTAACTTTTATCTATACCTCATTCGATAAATTCTACTCTAGGTGGCTCAGCTCGCTCAGGAGACTTATAATGCTAACGTTCTTCCGATGCTCATCAAAAACCTACCGAAACTGGACTTTGAAAGCAAGAAGGTGAATACTGGCTTTAAGTGAAGCAAACTTTTTTACTAAATAGGATGATTTAGGATGTTGCCCAGATTTTCAATAACCTTCTCCGTAGGCAAATTGGAACCCGATCACCTACTGTAGAATACTTGGGTGCCCGTCCTGAAATGCTAGTTCTTCTTGTTAATGGGTGAGTCATATTAATTCATTTCCCCTGATTCTGCATTTACGTGATGTTGCTAAAGTTACGAGAACGGGGACATCGCCGTTACATGCGGTCACATGCTTCGCGAATGTATTCGTCATGATCAGTTAGCCAAGGCTTGTTCAAATTGTAATTGCTATATTTAACGTTAATCAAAATGTAGGTCTTCAGATTTTGCTGCAACATGAGTCCTTTTACAAATTTTTCACATATGTCGAGCTTTCTGCTTTCGACATTGCCTCCGATGCTTTTGCCACTTTCAAGGTAATGCTTTCTAGCTTTTATTTCTGATTTCTATGTTACATTGTGTTTTCTAATTGTTTATGGCATTTTGACAACATTTTCTATTTAGTACATAAATGATATGTTTGAAGAGGGATTTTACCATTGCGAAAATGATGTCACTTTTTCTTCAATTTTCCTTTAGCACTGTTACATGCTAAGTTCTTTAGGACTTGATCACTCGACATAAAACGTTATGTGCCGAATTCCTCGACGCTAACTACGATAGATTTTTCACCGAATACCAGAAACTGCTCAACTCAGATAACTACGTTACAAGGCGCCAATCACTAAAGGTTTTTCATTTAATAATCTAATGGTATTTTTTTTAAATAATGTTTATTCAGCTGCTTGGTGAATTGTTGTTGGATCGTCACAATTTTAACGTGATGACGCGATACATATCCAATCCAGAGAACCTGAAGCTCATGATGGAGTTGCTTCGCGAAAGGAGTCGTAGTATTCAGTTTGAGGCCTTCCATGTGTTCAAAGTAAGTGAAGCTATATGCCAGTTACGTGAAAAGTCTTTGTAGATATCACTATTGGTTTTACTTGATTCCACTTTTATTAGCTGAAATATCATAGGTACGCTTCGTTTCTCGCCGTGGAATTAACAATAGCAAGTCTAATGAAGTATACATATCACCTCGTTATCCACTTGAGGCATTTATTAAGACATATTATCAAGAGATTTGTAGCATTTTTTTGTTGATCATGATTCCGTTCTGGGAATGCTGTCATCGAATCCTTTTCTCCCCTCTGTAAGATAACGCTAGTCTTACCTAGGCCTTGAGCCTTCACTCGGCACTGAAGAGTTATTTAGAGCGCCCAAGGGTTTCTTTTCATCATTCTTTTAAATACATCTTTGTAGGTTTTTGTTGCGAATCCGAACAAGCCCCGCCCTATTGCCGATATTTTGTTGAGGAATCGTGAAAAACTGGTTAGTTTAGCGACAGGTTCCTAGGCATTGTGCTCAGTGGCGTGCATGACATATTTGCATTTTTTGAATTTCAAAATTTAGGTCGATTTCCTTGCTCAGTTTCATACTGAGCGTACAGATGATGAACAGTTTAACGACGAGAAGGCGTACTTGATTAAGCAGATTAAGGAAATGCAGGCTTGAAAATGCAAGCACTAGCTTGCCGAATATTCCATGTAATTTTGTTTTGTATCAGATTTTTCGTATTGCCGCGAATTCCCTGTTTTGAAGAGGTAAAAAACTTCGCAGAGGTCTCTAGTCTGTGAAAAGAGTTATAGATTGAATCTATGGTGTTTACAGGAGTGTCCTACTACGTTTGTGTAGTTCTTACTCGTGTTTCTGTTCTTCCTTAATGCATTGTTTTGATTGTGCTTTGGTATCTAACGTAATTCATGTAACTTACAAGTAAATTATTTGAGATTATAGGGTAAGCATGAGTTACTTTAGTTAGAACATCAACGAATTTTCAAAGCACGTCTTTTTGTGTTGCTCCATACGGTTCTCATGAATATTTATGATGTAATATAGATAACACTGTCACAACCAATCATTACAAACTAAAAAATGTGAACTATGAACGGCTGAAACAGACAATGAGCTTGAAAGAGGGATGATTGCTGTAAAGGTGTAATGTAATGTCTCGTTTAAGCATTCACATTAAGTAGAGCATATCAAAACAACATCCGACAAAAACCTCATAGGAAGTTCGACTGACACTATCTAATAATCAGTGAATAGGGCCTTATTTTCCTCTTGAAAGTACAATTATGGAAATAAGCAGCCTTGAACATGTATTTCAATATTATCAAATATGTCAATAACCTGGAATTAATATCTTCAGGAAGCTCAACATAGAGAAAACTATAAATTGACAATATCTGACAAAAGTTGAGCAAGATGAGGGGGGTCATAGTTAGTGATTAAAGTCACCAAAACCAGCTCCGCCTCTAGGGCCCTTTCCTGATAGTTCCAAAAGCGAATCGATCATCTAAATAGATAAAAAAAC